CACACACACACACACATACACACACACACACACAAACACATGCTGTAAATCATTTGAAAATAATTAAATACATCTTGTGAGAAATAAAAAGAAAGTAGAGTTGTCTTCATGATGACATAAATATTCATTAGTAAGTGATTCACATGGTCACATTTTGATGCAAACTGACATATCTCACAAATTAGTTCACATGCCGTAAAACTGCAATCTTGATTCATACAGCCCACATTCTGCAAATTATTTGCATTAAAATGTTTGCATAGATATTTTCACATAACAATAAAGATAACGTAATTCTAAGCCAGGAGAAACAAGCAAAAATAGGTATTAAAAGTTGTGTCATTTGTGATTCATTTTTTTAAAGGAAGTAATTGAGCATTCTGTTTCCCTTTTCATATGGTTATCCATATTCAGAAGGTGTAGTGTTAATTTTAAGATAAATAGAAATAAGCATATTAATATGCCAGATTCTTCATTGACATAGAAAACAGGATCTGTTAAATATAGTGTAGTACTGTGATATAATGTAAATCTATGGAAGTTAATCAGGCACTGAAAATATTGTACAGAAGAAAATCCAATGTATATACCTGCATATAATGCTGGGAATCAAGTTATAATTTATAAATATGGCATTAAGGTAAAAAAAGGAAAACATGCTTTTAGAAATCCTTATCCATTGGGGGTAAGAAAGCAAATTGCACTGTAGGAGTTCGTTCAAGTTTATAGCTTTTCTAAAGCTTTCATGAGTATAATCACCAATATGTTTGTTGAGTAGGAGCTAAGTAATTGAACGTAGAATTCATTATTCAATCCTATGTCGATTTATTTAGAAGCATGTTCTGGAATTTAGTGAGCTTTATATTCCCAAAAATTATACCTCAGTTCCTTAAACATCGATTTGTAGGTGTTTAAGATAGGTTAAGCCAATGAAGCTCCACAATAATTTGTATGTCTGTATGGCAGCGTTCTGCACACCTTCAGCGTTTAGTCATGCCGGCCACATGACCATGGAGATGTCTTCGGACAGCACTGGCTTTTCGACTTTGAAACAGAGATGAGCACTGTGCCCTAGAGTTGCTAATGACTAGCACATATGTGTGAGGGGAACCTTTAACTTTTATAGCATTAAGGATGATTTTAAAATATTGCTCTTACAGACCAATAGGACAGTGATGCCAAACCTTTTTTGGCTCATTTGCCAAAAGTGGGGGGAGAGCAGGGGGGGTCATGCACGGGCGTGCCACACCCATAATGCTATGTATGCGACCCCAGCGCACATGCACCCCCCACCATCTGCATTTGGCAGACTTTTTCTGCCTTCCCCAGGCTCCAGAGGCTTTCTAGGAGCCTGGGGGGGGGGGAAACAACCTCCCCCGGCCCCGCAGGCCCTCCAGAGGCTTCAGGAGATTTCTTAAACCCTGCGGAGTGCAAAAACCCGGCCCTACGGGTGAACCAGAAGTTCGAGAACGGACTTCTGGTTTGCTCATAGAGCTTTTTTTCATCTCCGGAGCCTTCAGAGAAGCCTCCTGAAGGCTCCGTAAGGAGAAAAATGGCCTCAAAAGAAGGATGAAGTCAGCTGGCCAATGTGCGCATGTGCGCTGGAGCTGACAGGGCAACACCTCGCATGTCCTAATAAATGTCTCTGTGTGCTACCTGTGGGCAGGATTTGTGAAGCAGAATCTATGACGTGCGTGTCACAGAACAAGTGATAGGCCAGGTCTCTTTACCTTCTGAAAATTCTGCAGGTGAGTCTTGCTCTCACATGGTCTCTGGACACCCCCCCCCCCAAAATTGTGTGAGAATGACCTGTGTTTTTCCTTTCTTTTTGGCGACTGCAAGGCCACCCAAGAAGAATTCTTCAAATTTTTAAGGCTTCTAGAGCTGCCTTGGATAGGCATTTAAAAAAATATTTACAATTATAAAAACATTTATTTATTAAATAATAAATCTAAACAACTCAATTCAATTTTTATTACTTTTTTATGATTTTTTTTCTCTCTCTGTTTGAAAGAGGGAGTGGGAGGAAGAGAAAGAGAGAGAGAGATGCCAGCAGAGTCAAAGAAGGCATTTTCTTATTTTTTTGACTCACAGTCAATTATCTGGGACTTCAGCAAACACAGCTGATTGCAATTCCACATCTTGGAAGAGACTTAACAAGTTGAACAGCCATCCCCAGTTCCTAAGATGCCTTTAAATGATAGTTTTGTGGAAGAATTGGGGCTCCTCTTCCTCCTTTTACAGATAAGGTAAATCTTGCTTCTCCTGCAGAAATAAGCTGCTTGTGAATGATAGATCCTTGCTCTGAATTGTCATCTCAGATATATACATCCGCTCTGTGATAGCAAAGCAGAAATGACACTGTGAGCAGTCAAGCTGTATTTCAGAAGGGAACAATTTGGAGCGGAAAAGGATTCAGCGAAGGTTTCCTCTTTTCCCACATTCATGTTTGAAGGATAATTTTCTTCTTCTGAGAACACAGAAAAGATACTGCTGGGTTATTTTCAGGAAGAAAACTATTAAGCACCTTCTTCTGTTTTCCCGGAATAGATTTTAAAGACAGAAAAGAAAAGTAAAAGTTATAGTGCTGTGTGCATTCCAACATTTGTATCATTTGAGATAGAGTAGGTGCAAGGTTTGTTTTCATAATGAAACCGTATACATAAATGATTAACCATTTGAACTTTGAATAGTTATATCATTGAAGATATTTCCACCTTCTTTATTTCACTTTAATGGCACTTTCTTTTTATGATCTTCTCTTTTCATGTAGTTTATTGAAATGCCGAACTTTCTATGCTGTAATTGCCAGGTATTTAACTACAAAGCAATATTGGAAAGAGGCATTCATTGACAGAGAATGAGGATTGCTTTGTTATCGCAATGTACATTTATTAAAAATTAACAGATTTTAAAGGAGCAAGGAGCTCAGATTTCTAAGAAATGAAAGTGGATTTCTCATGTTTTGAAAATTAACCACCTTTAAAAAAAATGAGCCTAGGGAAAATATTAGAAGTCCCTCAGTTTTAACATTACAATCAGTAGACCATAGTTAGTTGGTGTACTACTTTTCTACATTGCCACACTCCTGAGGACTCTCTTCAGTTTACAATCTAAAATGACAGGAGACATGAAAAAAACAATACAAATGCAAAGAAAGAAATAATTTAAAATTCGATGTTGTTATTAAGCCCTCTGCAGACACCATTGTTATGTTCAAAGGTTCTCCTGAACAGTTCTGTTTCAACAGCCTTCTCGAAGGAGTCTAGGACAACTTGCACCATCCAATTCACCACAGGACAACTTACCATGGCCATGTCACCATGGGGCAATTCAAAGCAGGATAACTCAAGAGAAGGACAAGCGAATTGCAGCGGATCTTGTCCTACTTTACGTTTGAACCTTCCCAAGTTTGAAGTCCTCAAGGCTGGGGTGACCTGCAATTCCAGTTGTCCCCCTCTTGAGTAATGCCACATTGAATTGTCTCGTGGCAAGTTGTTCTGTAGTGAGTTGGCTGTGGCAAATTGTCCCATAGCGAGTTGACCTCAGTGAGTCAACCGAAGTGAGTTGGCCAGGGTGGGAGGGAAATTTCCAAGAGGGAAGTGCTCCAGAGGGATTGCCACGACACCTAAAAGGTTCTGATTTTGCTCCATTTCCTGAATCTTAGAAGGAGATCCTCTACCTTCTTCTTAATTTTGAGCACTTGTTGGGCAAATTCTCTTTGAAATAAAAAAAAATTATAATTGTATAAAGGTATAAACAATTAATTGTATAAATGAATGAAAAATCAAGTTTGGTGGAATGCAGTCTTCGTGAACATGGTTTACTGCGCATGTGTTAGGCTACATGTAGTCCCTGACTTGCAGCCATGAATTTAATGACCATTCAATGTTACAACGGCACTGGGGAAAAAAGACAGGACCAGTTTCCATTGCAGCATCCCCACGGTCATGTGATCAGAATTTGGGTGATTGGCAGCTGACATATATTTATGACAGTTGCATTATCCTGAGGTCATGTGATCACCATTTGTTACCTTACCAGCTGGCGTCTGACAAGCAAAGTCAGTGAGGGGAGCCTGATTCACTTAATGACCACATGACCCACTTAAAAAACTGCAGTGATTTGCTTAACAACTGTGGCAGAAAAGTTATAAAATGGGGCAAAACACACTTAATAACTGTACTGCTTAGCTATGGAAATTTTGGGGCTCCATTGTGATTATAAATCAATGAATACCTTTCCCACCCCCAAGTTCTTGGTCAGCATGTCCATCGAGGAGTTGATGTAAAATAGTTTCTTTCCACGATAACAAGACAACTTCTAGGATAATAAAACTCAAAACTGTAGTATCATGATCTGTGCTCATACGTTCAGTCTGATAGCCTCAATAATATTCATCATTTTTCTCTTTTAACAGAATATATAATTTATGTAAGTAAAGTATTTGGCCTTTGCTTCTAATACACAAATAAAGAAAATATTAATTAAACAAAGAAATAACAAAAGCAGTGAGGCATGCTTCTTTATATAGATACTAGCCAATAACCCAGCATTGTCTGGATATTTATTTATAGGGGGAAAATGTCTGGACCAAACGTAATTTCTAATGTTGGATTTTCCCCCTTACCAGAGGGAGGCCCCTTGTGGAGTACTGTGAAGCCTTTATCAGGGCAACGTCACTGCGCTATACAGTAGAAGCCATTTTACGGCAGTAAAATAGAATCCATTTAAAGACACAACATGCTGCATATTAACAATCACCCTAAGGGGTGTTAGGGATGTCTTACCCACACAGTATTTGTTTCCAGAGGATAAGTCACCTATGTACCACGTTTGGTTGAAATTGCTCCAGGCTTTCCAGAGTTATGCTGGAACATACACATACACAGCTGTATGTATGTATGTATGTATGTATGTATGTATGTATGTATGTATAAAAGATTAGTTACTATATTTGGTAAACAACAGCTAATGATTACTTTTTTATTTATTTACAGGAAAGATTCCAAGTCAAGAATCCACCTCATACATATATACAGAAATTAAAAGGCTATCTTGATCCAGCTGTAACTAGGAAGGTAAGAAAGAGATGGGATTTTTTCTCTCTTGTTCTCTTGCTTAAAGGACAGTCATTTTTGCCAGATCAAGCAGAAAAGCTTTCTCTATTTGCTAGAAATGAGGAGGAAAAGAAAGCTCTTGCACATTTTGAAAGTTATGGTTGTTTTCCAGACCCTTTGCTGAGAGTATCTCCATTCGTCTTTGGAGATTAGTATGAGGACCTTCTTTTTCAAAGCTTGTCAGGAATGGTGCTCTATGGATAATAATTCTTTGTCAACAAGTGCACAGCTCCAGTGTAACCATAGAAACGAAAGTTAGGCAAAATTTGGGGTGATCCATAAGCCACATTCAAAAAAATTTTTTAAGAAGCGGAGAGTAAAGAAGTCTGCAGAGGATTTACATTTTTTTCCCCTCTCAAGTTTTTGAGAGTCTTGATTTATACTATTTTTTTTTTTAAAGATATTTTATTTGGAAATTACATTGTATGTTTTCCATGTGTTTCCTGCTTCACAACAAGCAGGGAAATCCTGCTGCCAGTTTTAAGAAACTGGGTCACTAAAATTCAGTGGAAGCTGCTTTGGGTGTTACAAACAAAAGGAAATATGAAGATGCAAGTTGCCTATCCTGGTGCAGACTGATGAACTATTCTAAGAGTTTTCGTCCAGGTTTAGTTTGCTGTCATTATCCTGTCCAGATTGTTATGTTCCTCTCCCCCCCCCCTCTGAAGATCATCCTAGGAAATATTACCATATTGTATGTGTACAAATCATGGAGGAAATGGTTACCTATGAAAGATCTTTTGTGTAGACTATTTGAAGATTTGATTAGATAAAATTATTTGTGTGTGGTAGTGGATGTGTTTGTGCTTAAAAAACATAGACTCAGAAGAGTTGTCCTGTTTATCATTTTTTTAAAACGTACTGTACATCCTGTTCTTGATATCTTGAAGAGCACTTGGTTTATTTCATAATAGAAAGAAGAAAAATCTATAAGGGTTAGGCTATAGAATTGTCATCCTCATTAATTTAGACATCATATAAGATTTTTTTTCCCTTTCTTGTAAATTCTAGAAATTTAGGAGAAGAGTTCAAGAATCTACACAAGTTTTACGGGAACTAGAAATTTCTTTAAGGACTAATCACATTGGGTAAGTTTTTTTTTTAAAAAAAGCAATGGTATTTGAGGAAATGATTTGGGGCATAAACTATTGTTATTATTCAATTTTTTAAAGTCAATCATGGGATTGTATGAGAATCTCAAGATTGACTTCAAAGAAGCTCTAGCGTTCCTTTGCTTGAAAAGTGACATCTGTTGAATAGAATAGGTTCATCCCCAAGGCACTGTGGCTTAGGGATGTACTTAGTTTTAACAGAAGCATTAGGCTTCTTGTGGGGAAGGAAAATTAAGGAAAAATGAAGGGTTGCTTCAAAACAAATTGTACTTTATCGTCTCCTAAGTAGAAGGAAACTGCTTTTGTTTAAAAGTTGTGGTTCTTTATCCTTCCTCCCCTTCCACCTTTTCAGTGAAGTTAAATTGACCATGAAATACTAATGCTAGGCCAACATTTCCAAGAGATAATTGGCAGTGAGTGAAGATTTAGATAGTATTTTGGAGATAAGAAGCCAGGGAAATCTGTAAGCAATTGCAACAGTTTTTCCATCAATTAAATTCCAGATTTCAGCAGTATTTGCTAAGCCAAATACTTTACAGCAGTCAGTCTTTCTTTTTTCCTTTTCCTTTTTATTTTCAAACTGCTGACTCTTTCAAAACTCCAGGCATTGTGATGTGATGGCAATTATTAGCTGTGACTTCTTATTAGAGATTACACCTGCCAGATTCATTAGGATTTAGACATCATACTAGGAAAAGGTTTAAATGTAACTGTTAGCTGAGCAAAGTAATTGCATGTTACAGTGCTTTTGCACATAACTAACTGGAGAGTAGAAATAGAAACTTCCTGTGCATAGTAAACTCTCACATTTTAGGTATGTCATGATGTTCTTCATGATTTCCTTTAAAAATAAGACAGAAGAGCATTCTATATTTTTTGTTTCGTTTTTGCATTTCATACTTTGAATGGTGAATAAGAATTAGCAAGATTAACTTTGTGCATGTTTCACTTATAGATCTTTCATTGCATAAACCATAGTATGTCAGTCGATGAAAAATGGCTATGTGACTTGTACAATTAAAAGATCTAAGCGGCATGGACTATTTCTTTAATGAGGGACTGTGTTGTGTTAATAGCCCAAGATATGTTTCTTCTTCAAGACTAATGCGTTTTTTTCTGATCCTATATGCAAGGTTTCTTTTCAAGGCATGATTGCCTTATTGGTAAACCAAATACTATTTGGAGATCTTAAGTAGGTATTTAGTTATGTTGGTATATTGAGCCATGGAAATGACTTTGAGAAACTGTTACAAGTAATCAAATTGCACCAAAATATGTTTTGAGCCTGGAGTAATGGGGAAGTAATAGGAAGAGCCTCAGTTTGGCTCCTCCCTGATTATAAGAAGGAGGGGAGAATAAACACAGATTGGCAGCTTTCCATTATAAACATACAAGTTTCCCCTGTCCAGGCATGTGTGACTCTGGGGTGTGTGTGTGTGTGTGTGCTCATCTCCGTTTCTTAGTCGAGAGATCCAATATTGTCTGAACACAATTTCTATGGTCATGTATGCCAAAGGTGCACAGAATGCTGTTACCTTCCCACTGAAGTGGTACCTATTAATCTATTCCCATTTGCATACTTTTGAACTGTTAGATGGGGAGGAGGCAGAAGTGGGAATTCACCCTGTCACACTGTGCTCGGGTCTCGAACCCAGGCTGTCAACTTTCCAGCTGATAAGCTCAGCGTCTTTAATCTCTGAGCCCTTGTGCCCCCATATTCTGTTACAGCCCTTACTCAATAAAGTATAGCACTAATCTTCTGGTGTATCTGTTATATCCACAAAAGGCTAACCATCAAGTTGAAAGCCAGTTGGCATTATTCAGTTGGAATCCAAATAAAATATTAAGAATTTGATTGTGTTAAATAGTTGAATGATAGAATGGACTACAATGAGGTTTATTTGTTATAGTGTGGGTCCCATTCCCCCTGCAAAAATGCTCTTGGGAATACAAAATCCGTGTATGGTTTTATTTTGGCATAGTTCAATTGATTGAGTACGTTACTTGAGTTACTTTGTTCCATCTATATGTGCTACTTCGATGCATGAAAAATTGAAAAAAATGAAGAAGCTAAAATGTTCTGGGACTTCAGAATTCAAACAGACAGCCACATGCCACATAATACCCGAGACTTAACAAGTGTGGATAACAGTGACAAAAAAGTCTGGATAGTGGATATGCAGTATCTGGAGACAGCAGAATAGAAGAGAGAGAATTGGAGAAGATAATAAAATACAAAGAGTTGCAAATAGAAATAGAACAACTGTGGCAAAAAGAAGTCAAGTACCAATAATCATAAGCGCCTTGGATGTAATCCCAAAATAACTGAAGTACCACTTGAACATCATTGGCATTGACAAAATCACTATCAATCAGTTGCAACAGGCATCTTTACTCAGAATATCTTACATCCTATGATGATACCTTTAACACTATCAAACATCAACATCTGCCTGTCCCAGGTCCTTAGGAAGGACTTGATAGGTAAATAACAATGCCAAATTCAGTTTGAACATCTGACTGACTGTGTGATGAGCCATAATAATGAACACCCTAATTTTATAAAATGCCACCTTGCTTGGAGCTGCCATATATATCCTTAGGTGCTACCTTAATAACTCTTAGGTCCTTGGATAGAATTATTAAGTTTTCACCAGTCTTAAACAATGCATCTAATTGCAGATTACTCATCATAATAATTAACCAGTTTGCTGATGACCTCTAATAATATTTCCAAACTCTGCATGAAACAGTCACACTGAAGGTAACCCTGAATTTCGCTCTGAAAATGTGATTCTCAATCTTTTATCTTTCAGAAATTTCTGAATAAGAAATGAATACCTTTTTGGATCCTGTAATATTTGGTTTACGTACAGATATAAATATGATGAACTCTTTTGATGATTGTTTTTCCAGGTGGGTCAGGGAATTTTTGAATGAAGACAACAAAGGCCTAGATGTTTTGGTGGAGTATTTGTCTTTTGCACAGTATGCAGTCACGTAAGTATAATATGATCCACACGCTCACAATCTGGGCAGAAGGAGAAAGATATTATTAGTGCATCCTGTTTCAGTAAACAGTGAACACAGTTGGTATAAAACCCTGTTATTCGAATAATTATATGTCTGTCTTCCTAAGATGGATGTCATAAAGTCTCTGTTCTCTGTTATGCCAATTGCGCTGCTCACTTCAGGGACAATAAATGGTAGTGTCGGTTCTGGAAACATTGGGAAGCATGATAAATGGTTATTATGTGCTGAGATCTACTGTGCCCATAGCCAAGTCTTCAGATGTGCATTGAAAGTCAACTCAAATGCACATGCAACAATAGAAAAAAACAAGAGCACAGGTGGTTTGCTGATGAGGTATACAGGAAGGTATCTTATTCCAAGTGGCTTCCGTTAAGTTTCCTGAAGTCCATCTTCTCCTTTCTGAGTTCCCTTTAACTGAAGATGCCAAGAATAAAATGTAAGGATTTTCTGGTTACAAAGTGTATGACCTACAACTGGGCCAATGTTCATCTGCTCCAATTTGCAGAAGGAGATTTCATATCTTGCTGTATTGAGGTCCAGGTTGTTAGTTGCAAAGTCATATCCGACCCATCGCGACTCCATGGACAACATTCCTCCAGGCTTCCTGTCCTCTACCGTCCTCTGGAGTCCATTTAAGCTCATGCCGACTGCTTCACTGACTCCATCCAGACAACTCATTCTCTATTGTCCCCTTCTTCTTTTGCCCTCAATATTTCCCAGCATTAGACTCTTCATTCTCATTAGGTGGCCAAAGTACTTGAGTTTCATCTTCAGGATCTGGCCTTCTAAAGAGCAGTCAGGGTTGATCTCCTCTGGGACTGACCGGTTTGATTGCTTTGCAGTCCAAGGGACTCTCAGGAGTCTTCTCCAGCACCATAGTTCAAAGGCCTCAATTCTTTGGTGCTCAGCCTTTGTTAGTCCAGGTGTTAATGTGGACAAAACTGGTAATTTCTATGTTGAGTGCTACAACAGAAAGAGAAGCTCACAAGGGTCATGCTTCTTTAGCCATTTGCCTGCTTTTTCTTAATACTTGAATTAGTCCTCCGGGTCACCAGTGAGAAGAAGCAAGAAGACTGCCCATAAGCTCCCCATAAGAAATTTCTCTGCTTTGCCATCCCACTGATGGAAAGTGACTTGGACTTTAGAATGAAGCCTTATTGATAGAAGGTGGCTTCAGAGCCCATTTCCTTCCCTGCAGTGAAGGGAAGGAGCACATGCAGAATGAGAAGCTCCTGTTTCACTTGAATGTCTTCTCGATCATGATCAAAACGTTCCAAGATTCAAAAAAGTATAAAGTTATTTTTAGGGTGGAGACCTAAAAAAAGGTCTTCTACTGCTGGATAAGAAAGGACCTAAACTCTGCTAAAAGAGTAAACAAGGTAAGAAGAATGGCACATGGCAGAAAAACAACTGACTTTAAAAACAAAAGCTGCATTCACGTATAAAGCTAAACAATAATGTGGAATGTTTGGGATTGTTTGATGGGATGTGTGAATCTGTCTGCAGAAGGAAGCCATAGTTTACAAATCATGCAGGTCACATCCAATGAAAAACCAACAAACTATATTATGACGTAGAGTTCTGTGTGAACTGGCCACTCAGATAAAAGCAAGCAGCTTTTCTTACTGTCCATTCTTCCTCACATACTAAGTTTGAGAGATAACCTCAAAGTCTGTGGAAGAGAATGGCATAATTCTCCTTTCAACCAGCAGTACATTAGACAAGGTTTGAGAAATAAGCCAAACAAAGGAAGATTACAGTCATGATTACAGTAATGTATTACATATGTTTGGAATTTCGCCTTGGCCAACATATTGGAAGAAACATTTCCATTGCATGTTGACAGTTGAAAGTAATTAGAATGCGTTTATTTATCTTTAAAACAAAATGCATTCTTGACATTTCATCTATGCTATAGTACGGAAAGGTTGTTTTGTCTTCCAAGAATTTAAGCAAAATTGAAATTAGGTAGAGTCTCTGTAAAGCTGTGTGACTTATTCCTCCTTTCCTTGCGGCAGCCTTTTATTCCCTCCATTTCAAGATCCAATTTTATTGTGAAACCAGCACTGAGTTTCAGCCCAAAGGAAAATGCATTTACATGGTTCTCTACCACTTTATTGTTGTAATCTATTGGGACATTTCTGAGTTCTGCAGCAGAGGGGGGGGGGAAGCAGCCTCATCCTTCTCATTGGCATATGAAGTGTCTATTTCTTTTCAGATTTGACTTTGAAAGCTTGGAAAATAATATGGAAAATTCAGTGGACAAAAATAAACCATGGAGTAGATCCATTGAAGATCTCCATCGAGGAAGTAACTTACCTTCTCCAATTGGCAATAGTATTTCCTGTTCCAGCAGGCATTCTACTCTAAGGTAAGATGAAGAAATAAAATTGATTTTGGGCTGTTCTTGTGGTTTGTGGAACTTAGGAAATAGGTTTTTCAAGTCTTTACAGTAACTTTACGCCAACTTTAGTGCTTCCCATCTTGTTGATGTCTTGATATCACTGGTCAGTAGAAACTGTTGCCAAACCAATCAAAATGCTCCCCACCTGCAAGAAGTTCTTCACCTTTACACCACAACAATCTTAGTTGATTAGGTAGCCAGAGAATTTCCCCTTGCCTGCCTGATACAGAGTGACTGGCTTAAGGTCACCAGGTTGGCTTTTTGCCTAAGAAGGAACTAGAACTCACAGTCTTCCTGTTTCTAACCAGGTGCTTTAACTATTGCACCTCACAGGCTCCTCATAGAAATATGCTTGATTTTGGGGGAGAGGGGAGCACAGTCCATGGTTCTATATAAATATATTTTAAGTCTGCGATTCTGAACACAAACCCATGCATGGGTTCATTATGGTCTCCTTAAGAATTAGTCTGATATAAGTGCTTATGCAGCTTCGATGCTAGAGAAGAAACATACGATTCAATAATTTTGTGTATAGGAATTTCACTAAGATTGAGTTCATCTTCAAGGGTTCGATTTGTTCCCTGCTACTCATAGTCCTATAGCTATCATATAAGGTAGTAATTCTTGATCAGCATTTTACTGTATTTTAGCAACATTTTATTGTTCCTGAAAGGAAGGGGGAAGGTAACTCTTAGCCTGTCAACTCTCACAGCAATCCTTTTGTGGCTCCCACAATAGCCAGGGTCTGGCTGTTAGGCTTTGGCTTCACCCTCTCTTTCAATGATTCATGATGTCACCAGTCACACCACTTCCAGTTCTTATTAGATCATTTTTAAAAACCCATGTATTATGTAACATTCATGCCTTCAGCTCCATGGATTCTTGGTGAATTACTGTATAAAAGCACCAGTGTTATATGTAAGAAGTGGCTGTTTCCCGCCAGCAGGTTTGCTGCTGTATTTTGCCCCAATTGTATTTATAGCACTCTTTTGGTAATGCATTTATCAAATTCTTGTGAGCGTGGTCCTGCAGCTAACCTGAGCTTTGCTTGACTCATGTGAAAGGTCATTGTGCTAATTGTGGCCTATCCTGTTTATCAATATGTGCATGTTTGCTTGGAAGCACTTCCCGACATTGTGGGCATATTTACATGCAGTCAAAACAGGGTGAAGATGCTGATCTACACAATCAACTGCTTCTCATTAGTAATGGTGGTGGCAACTTTTCAAGGTTGATTTGGAACTTGATACCCAAGCTCAGCAATTTTTTTTAGTTCAGTGGAGGCATTGCTTTTCAAATATGTATGGGGTGTAGGTGGGACCCAGGTTAAGGCATCAGGTTAGAAACCAGGACACTGTGAGACTCTAGTCCCATCATAGGCACAAAGCCATCCAGGCGACTTTGGGTGAATCCCCCTCTCTCAGCCTTAGGAAGCAGACCATGGAAACCAATTCCAAAAAATCTTGCCAAGTAAACTGAAGGGACGTGTCCAGGCAGCTGCCAGAAGTCAACATTGACATAAAGATGTGTGCATGCCAGTAATGGCTTCCTCTTATCTTTGCTACCAGTTCGGAACTGGGAGTGTGCGTGAGCTTTGCTCACGCACGGTGCTTCTGTGCATACACAGAGCATCCGTGATGACATCCGGGCGGGTAGGCGGATCCTCCCTTTCCACCACTACAGGTTCGCCTGAACCGGGGCGAACTGGCAGAATACCATCTCTGGTGCATGAGTATGTGTGCATGCACACTTACACGCATACACACACATATAAGGTGTGTGTATGCGTGTAGGTATTAAATGTTACATCATTTTAAGTTCACTGTTCCCACCTGTATTTTACAAACTTCTTAGAGAAAATGAGAATGTGTAATAGCATAATAAAAATAAAATAACTCAGATATTTTTCTTCACATGTAAACCACAGATGGTCAGGATATATCAAAGGGCTTAAAGCCGATGTCTTACAGAGGAATAATTTGCAAGAAGGGTGTTCATTTAAAATGAAGGTGCAAAAGATAGTTAAGCTACTAGCTATATATTTGAGTGAAGAATATGGAAAAGAAGGTGGCATTATTTAAAGTATAGCTTAACATTTCTGATTGGCTAAATCATTTGAACAGTTTTCTCTGCGGAGTTAAACTACCTATTAGAATATTTAATAATTTTTAGGAAATCTACTTGAACAGTACTAGCCGTTTTGGAGTGCTGCATTTTTACAAAATATTTTTTAAAAGCAATAAATCAGTTGTTGTATGGCCAACACATGTTTTCAATATTTGTGAATCTGCATTTGTTGCTGAAAAGCAAAATATAGATGCAGACTACACAGTGTCTAAATTCATTCTTTCTGGTCTTGGTTTTCCTGTATCTTCTTTCTGAAAACATTGTCTAGCTTCAAAATTAGTTTCATTTTCTATTACTTTCTCATTCTTTCTTATGTTCACTGTTCTTTCTTTTTTCTCATGTCATATTTATTTATCTATTTATTTAAGAAGGCCCATCCCATTAGAATTCTTTTCTCCATCACACTTATCCAAGCCAAATGCCATCCAAATAATTCATTGTCCTGTACAACTTGAAGTGCCTCCAGAGTTACTCTTCACCTAGCTGCCTCTGGCTTTGCTTCAGCTTACAGTCTAGCAGAGTTCTATTTTTTGTTTTTACATTCAAATTTATTTATTTTTATCTGTCTGTCTGTCTATCCACTCTATCCATCTATCCATCCACCTACCCACCCCTCTGCCGGTCTGTCTGTCTATCTACTGTATCCATCCATCCACCCACCCACCCACCCACCCATGGTATCTACCGACAGTGGGACCTCAGTTCCCGAACAGCTCAGACCATGAACAATTCCAGTGCTGACCGAAAAATCTGCTAAATGTTTTACTCATGTCACGCACCTCAGGTGCCAAATAAACACAGCTGTGGCAATTTCCCCTGCCACAGCGATTTCCCCTTCCGCGCCATTTTTTTGTGCGTGCGCATGCGCAGTTTGTCTTGCTTCTGGTCACAACCAAATCAGGTGCCGACCAAAGTGCTGGAACGGATTACGGTCGGTACCTGAGGTCCCACTCTATCTACTTTTATCTGGCCTTTTTTCTTTAGAATAATTCAAGAAAGCAAACACACATTGTTGCTCCTATTTTTAATTGTTCCTGGTTCCATTTAAAGCAGCATGTAGATAGGGCAATTGATTAAAATCGTTGATTATTTAAAATACATGCATGCATGTTTGTTCTAAGATGCACAGCCTATTTGTGTACCCCATGTATAAGATTCCCCAGGATGTGTTTTTCTCACTTTAATGGATGTTCAGTGAAGAGAATACAGTCTCATTTATTTTAGACCAAAAGGAGATCCCAATTGCTTGCAGTTTCTATTTACTGCAAATTTAACTCACAGCTAACACACAATGCCCTGATTTTTTTTTCTTTTTTATATTAGCATTGCAGGCAGCGATGTCATTTGAGGGAAACAGTGACTCTTGCTGTAAAACTGCAGGGGTAATTCCAATGTCCGTGTCAATTGCAGTTCTCCAAACAGTTCTGAAAGTGGGCTTTGAAATTAGTTTTGCTGCATTTTTTTTAAATTCGGTGTTCAACCAAGTGTAAAGGACATGAACTGTCTTGTCATCTGCTGGATTATGGCAACCGCTGAGTTGGAAAGGCTAGGATATAAAATACTTACAAGCAGATCCTTTGAGCCCAAAGGCTCTGATATTTGGGCTGATTTTTGAGATTGCACGATACTGGCTGCCAATAGAAATTTGCAGGATTGGGATCATTCTGTGTATTCATTAGTATTCTCCTTATTCTAAAGATTTCGGTCTTAATGTTGAGACATTGCTCATTCTACCCATTTTAATACATCTTGGCTTTGTAATCTTTTGTAAGGCTTGCTTCCTGGTCATCTGAACTACATTACAAAATGAGTTAGTATAAGGGCTAATATTTATCTTCAGTGTGAAATATGAAAGCTTAAACCCATTTTAGAATGATTAGCTTTTGTTTGGCAAGGTTGAATGGGACCTCATTGTTTGACACTGAAGATAAACGTGCTAATAGAAGTATTATTTTTCTATTGGCTTGGGAGGTAATGACTCCATTGTGCTAGAATGAGGTCAGAGGTTGCTTTGCCAGTGCTCTCTCTCACACACAAAGTGTGTTTTCCATGAATGGGAAATCAATTAGCAGATGGAACCCATTGGTGAGTTAGGCACAGACCCAAAGGGCTGCCTGAAGGAGAGGGCAGTGCAGCCCATGCATGAAGTTAAGCTTCTAACCCAGTGTTTTTCAGATTTGGCCACTTCCAAATGTGTGGACTTCAACTCCCAGAATTCCCCAGCCCGCACTACTTTGGAATCTCTGGGAATGGATTCCTCCTCAAGAAACTGCATTTAAAATAGAACAGAATACGTGCTTTGAAACATTTTCTGAACCTTGCCTAGGATTATGCATTTAAAATACAACTTTTAAGAGACTGAAATATCTGCTCTAATAGTTTCATCATGAGGGACATGGCCTTATGTGTGTTATTATGGGAACATGGATTATGTGGAGAGGATTAAAAACAACCTTTTGAGTCATAGACACAGCAGTAGTAAACATTTCTCTCAATTCCTGATTTTCCCCCTCTCCTTTTTAAAATTACCTTCTATTTAATATGTCAGGAGTAGAAATAAATGAAAAAACACTGAAGATACTAAAAAGATGCAGAAATTAAGAAAACAGAAGATAACAGTAGCTATCCCCATTAAATTTTAAACTGAACCGATTTGGTTAGTGGAGTATAAATTACTAACAAACATATAAACAGTAAGCAGCAAATTAGATCAGTAGGTGCAGTAGGTAATTCTGTAGATAAGAAACTGAAAAGTTTGATTTGGGGCATAACTCGCTCTCTATAATATTAGGAACTAAGAATGCAGGGGTAAAAAAGGCTACCGGTTCAGGTAAAGCAGT